AAAAAAAGAAGAAAATAAGCACTTGTGGCACCTCTAAATAACTACTTTGAGGCTTTGTAAAATTAATTTTTTTCAAAAAAATCTTGTCTTTGCAGCAGCCTTATGAAAAGCAAAGCATTGTTTATAATTTTTGTAGTAAAAATATAATTAACATATCATGCTAAGTAAAAACAAAAGAAAAAAAATAAGCCATCCAGGTCTTTCTTGCTATTATTCTAAAGCTTTGCACATTTGATTTTGTTCGAGGAAATTTCAGTTTCTTGTCATTGTCTTTCTCGCTTTGCTTAGACGACAAAGTTTACATTTATGGGGAAATCATGAGCGTAATATTTGCAAAACGTGTTTCGTAAGATATCGTACAATTATTGTTGTGCCTGTATAAAGTGTGCAAAGTGCGTACTTTACGCAATCTTATTCAAAACTATATTACGTAATAGATGTGCGTGGTGATTCTTACATGGTATTATTTTTTTCACTTTCCTTAGGTAACCTACTTGACACTCAAGTAAGAAACACTTACTTTGCACGCTCTTGAAGTAATGTACTGTTTACTAGCTCGCATTGCACCATCACTATTTTATTTGAAAACAATGAATTTTAATGATATTTGCGGTATAAGCTTTATGTTTATTAATCAATGTGTAATTTTTTTTCAATGATTTCGTGGCTGTATAGTAATTGATTACGCATTATTTAGTTTTTGTTAACAAGAATTTGAAGATCGCTAATACATCTCGTAAGAATTATTTTTTCTTGATCAGGAGTAAATCCTTTTTTAACATTTTCTACGATCCATTCGACCATATGTTTTTGAGCTAATTTTCGTTCCATGTTTTGTAGTTGAACTTGATAATCCAAGCGCCGTTTTACTTCTTGATAAACGTGTGATAACCGCTCACGATAAACAGCTTCCAACTGCATGTTTATATTGTCTCTTTTGATATCAGCTATCATTTTTTGGCTGTCTGTTCGCCATTGCTCTTTTTTTTCATGCTCTATAAGATTTTGTAGTTCTTTAATTTGATCTGTTCTGGATGACTCCCAACTTTGTTCGTATTCATCAATGTTTTTGTCAATATATTTAGCTACGCTAGGCCCAAATTTTTTAATTGCTACAATCAATGCTAAAGCTAGTGAGAGACCACTGTAAAATTCATGTTCCAATACGTAAATTTCTTTTGAAATTAGGTAAGTAGAAAGACCAGCTGCAAACATATAAGGACCTGAAAAAAAATGTCCATTAAAAATTCATAGTGTGTGCCATACTGTACGATAAAAATACCTTTTTTTATAGTTCATGCAATATTCAAAAATTATAGTTAATT